TACAGTTGAAATTGAGTAGAATAGTTTACTTTACTGGCAGAGTGGAACTTATTTATATCAGTTCCTGACGACTTTATGTTTGCAACTTGATGATTGTCGCTTAAAGACTTTAAAATAATTTCTGACAGTTGACCGAAAACTCCATAAAACCACTATATCTAATCCACAGTGACAGTAACTCAGAATAAAATGCAACTACGTAATTCATGTAACATAACATTAACACATCTACAATGCATACCTCTAGCGAGCCAATCCACTGACAACTACCGATAAAACTTTTTGGCTTATCCCCAAAACGTACAATGGAAGCTTGAATATCTCTGAGAGATGGTATTGGGCCTGGAGTTATTTCACCTTGCCACATAAGCCAAGATACTAGTGTTTGGAGCGATCGATATGCACAACCCCAATTCCGGTCATCTACTCCATCCTAAAAATGTTAAAAAATTATTCATGTAGAGACTCAAAGCTTCTGAATTAAAAATATGTTACATTAGCAGAAGTCTACGGGTACTTAGTCCGTTTACGCAACCTCAAAAAGAACATGGTCAAACCCAAGACAAATATATGCACCACCGGAAATTTTAAGTACAGTATATACGTATGACCACCATGATAAGAGTAACTACCTTATGTAATCTGCTATCGACTACACTTATGGATCGACGTTCTCATAGTCCTTTCTAATAAATACAGTTCCGAAATTCCCAACCAAATTCATTGCAAAAGGGTATTTAATTAAATTATGGAACAGCGTTCTAACTATTTTAAGGTCTCACAAGACATTTGTACAATATCAGGAAACACGAAAATTGGGTAGATCCCCAAATAAGTAGATCAATCATTCAATCTAGATCACGGTTTTTGAGATTATAATTTATAACCAATTCTTAAGTGATAATCAATCGAGACCTGTATGAAAGATATCAATTTTTGTTAAGTTTCACAAATACTTTAGCTGCCTTAGAAATAATCAATCGTATTGCTAGTTGGTGTACTCTAGTTACAAGTCGAAACCCTGTTTCCCACATTCTAGATTTATCAAGTAAAACAATTTAGTCAGTCTATGAGATGGTTATACTGTGTACTTAAAACAACTAGTCCCTTTGATGAATTTCGATAATGTAATGAGGAGAAGGTTATCATGATTATGTGATACATTTGCGCAATACATTTACAACAATCTAATCATACATATACTTGTTAAGACATTTTCTATTAAAATTAAAGGACAAACAAACAAATTAAAAGGTAAGCAGAAACAAGGATAATAAAGTACACAAAAATAATATGGAAACCACGCTGGATAATAAATCAGAATTATCAATGTAAGTTAAGAGTAAGAACAAATAGTTTCGACACATAAAGGGGGTGTCACTTTCCGTATAGACAAGGCTTTAATAAACCTTAGAATACGCCCTTGAAGGATTTTGTACACAACTACAAAAGCTGACTCGATATCAACCTTATGGCCGGTCACAACCAAATGTTTCGCAATGGAGGTAGATGTTTGTCTATCTTGAGATCTTATGTGACTATTGGGATTCACTTGTTTTTGCAACCATTTAGATATGTGTTCAGCCACAATTACTTGCAGATCACGATAACTTCTGCCTATGCATGTGTTTCCGGACGTACATATAAATATACACACACAGTGGGATGTAATGCAATCGATTACGTGCTGTTTACTATTTTGGTTAAACATAGATCTTGTCTTTTCAATAATGACGAGTCGAGCTGCATAAAATGTTCTATTGATGGCTAATTTAGGTCTCTGTTTCGACATGAGATTATTTAAGTCACCTCTAGACGGTAATGTAAAATAGACTGGCTTTTTGGTGCTAGAAGCGTCATATGTCTCATCATATTGCAACCTTTCCAAAGGTTTATAAGCTTTAATGAATAACCATCATTCGCCAATGTTTCCGTTAAGAGCTTCGTGTCTCCTTCAATACTGTCACTAGTACAAATATGATTGATCCTATGAATAAGCCCTTTATTAATCCACTTTGGTAATGAATTGGACAAGGAATGCGGGAATTAAGATTTTGCCCTGTTCATGTCGGCTTTCTATATACAGAACGTCTAGAAAAGGGAGCTTTAGTTGACTGTTTCAGTCTTAAATAAACATTTACCGCTTAATTTAAGTAATGCTTCCTATTAGATAATAATGTATAACAGTGAGCATTCTCCCCGATGGATAATTTTGAGCATAAACTCAGTGTTATGCATGAAAATATGTACTTAAATATAAGCAAAATCGGAATTTTCACTTTGGAAAGAAAAAACCAAATATATTATAATAAGGTGTGCATTAGCTTGGTTACATAACTGTTATAATATCTCGTGTAACAACCAATCTACTCTTATTGCTTAGTATTCTGTAGACACTTTACTTCACTTGACAAGTTTCCAAATCAGAACACGGTTGAACAGGGACGTAATTATATTCCAAATAGACAAGGTCGAGTGGGGGTACGAACCACAACAAGAAGAACGTTAGTATATTTACAATTTTACACAAGATTCTAGAGACTTCTTCAAGTATCTGCCAGAGCTGACTGGGTAAGAAATAACCAATCAGCGTACTCCAACGCAATCGTGCAAGGAATATGCTTTAATCAAATGTATATCCCGTTAACAATAACATTGTCTACTTCAATAGTAAAAATTAATATACCGCTGAAAAACAACGTCCTGGTACAACGCGTTTCGGTTAGCTTCTTTTTTACTGGTTCATAACGAATTTGTATGGATCATGAAAGGCAACTTAATATAAAAGTTTACAACTAGATATCGGACGATTAACACCATAAGCAAACTAATTTCATGAAAATAACATCAACCAATATTGAGTTAAGATAATTAACACATACCTGAAGATAATGCTTATAAGTATACCGACCTGTAACGATGTAGGTTTGACCTATATTAGGCGGTTGTTTAACGGCTTCATGAGGACACACAAGAAGTTCAGAGGACGGACCAAGCCAAGTGACTATTCTAGGTACTGGATGTAAAGCCTGACCTCGTCGGACGAGTGGAGTATCCAGTGGAAGACTGAATTCTTGAAAAACACGAATGAGTGGGGTGTAAATAACTCTCGTTTTACACTAACTAAATAACATATCTGACGTCACGTGATGTACAAATGATTAGACTAAAACACGAAAATCCAGTTAATTGACTCGCCTTATGTAACAAAACAGGATAACTTCCTAATATTCGAAATGTATTTATGACGAATTATCCTAACCAAAAATGAAAAATTACGGATTATTTTTGTAAAATGTACACCGATCCATCACGATTGAATAAATATAGGAATCAAGTAGTATTATTCATAAACAACAATGAGCGGCTTTTATCGTATGAAGACTGGCGACATTATATGGCTGATAATATATAAGGGAGGACTCACATGATTTAACTGATAAACAGAAATGGTCACTAGGCCAAACGTTATGAACAAACATTTATTTACTTAGGTGTGATAATAAAAAGATTGATACAAAGCAATAGCTCCAAAAAAAGTTTATTTAAAGTGCAAATTTAGTTTACTTACATTACTACTGAACGTCAGTAATTAGAAATAAGACTAATATCATGGAAATGGACACAAATTTACTCAGTTCCTTTTACAAACAAAATTACGAAAGACAGATATCTTGTGAAGCTGAAAGTGTCAAGCAGCTGCTCATTGTTGTAATGATAGGTTTTCTAGACGTAAGCTGACTCTCAGATATACAACAATATGGTACGGTATATAGTTAATACTATGGATTATAAGCGCATCAAAGTAAAGCCGTGTAACCACGAATGTTTTATAACTTGGTACACTAAGGCAACACTCTATGGTGCATTCTGAGATAAACTGTCACAATTTATCTGACGTTAAAATATAACTACGGAAATTTGGATTGTCCTGAATTAAGCAAAATACTTTGTATTTACATATAAGAAATATTATTAGTGAAAAAATTGTTTCTTTACTAAATAAATTATCTCTAGGTGTTTTAAAGATGATTTGTCGGATCGAATGACATTTTTCCATTAGTTGTTGTGTTGGTAGTATATCTGAGTTGTGGAGAAGGAGAGTGGTGTGTTGAGTATAGCTGTATTCTATATTTTGAGTATGGTGGTAACCGGGCGGTTGTTGCTATCCCGATGTGGTGATCAGGCTTGCCTATCGTAATGAATCAATCGGGCTATACTGGCTGGAACAATCGTTATTCAAGGTCCGAGGGCGAAGTCGTACTGCTGACTGTACAGACGTGTGACCGCAGTAAGGTGTTTCCTTCAGACAAGCAGCCTAACAGCGATGCTGTCTTCCCACAAGAAAGGGTGGGATTAGAAAAGGTCGACCCTAAAAATGCACATCTCGCCTTATCCAACGGATTTCCGTCTCCGGCGGTAAGATCCAATCAAGTATGGAGCTAACACGAAAACTACTCACAAAAAGGTCGTGTGTGACCGACCTCAAGCAGTTGTCCCTTGAGCACTGCGATCACGCTCTCGTGTCACTAAGACCGACTCTAACCCAGTTTCCTTTTCATGTACCTTTAGAAGAACCCTTCCACAGTGTGAGCATTTATTATTTATTTATTTAAACACATAAACATTGGTACGAGGAGGCACCAAATACATATGCGCCACATAAATCATTCGATTTGTGTAAGGGCTGTGATACTGCCCGGGTGCCCAGACAAAAACAGGTGGTTATCTTAGGGGGGACTTAAAGGTCTAACCCACAAGGCAATGGAGCACCGTAAGGAGATGCAGTCCCATGGTAGCCGGTGACCAACGATTGGTTCCTACGCCATTTGTTCCTTCAGGATACTGGAGCCCATGTGCACCATTGGTTTGGAATACGGTTAAAGCGCCGGACATTCGTTTTCCGTCCTCTCAATTTCGTTAACAACACCCCCGCTACGAGAAGGCAGTGAGTAGGACTTCCCTGGCAGAGGCTGTATACGCGTGGCCGTGTGAGAGCATTTCGAAAGAGAGAGGGCGGGCCCACCCCACTCTCGGCCATATCAGGGCATTTGGGGGCAACCGCGAAGTGATGATTACCCTCATACCTCTATCAGCGCCAAAGATCACTGTATTCATAATCAATCCTCCTCTTCAATTCCTATTATTCATCTTATACCGATTTCCAACTCTAAACTTCCTCTTTTGGCTTCCTCCTCATGTGTCATCATAGCCAACGACTCTAGTGCGCAAAACACTGTCCCAGGTCTACTGAAACCTCGCTCCAAACTACACATTGAAGCCTTCAAATTGCACACACTATGTCAAATTGGTCAGCAGGCCTCCTTGGCTAAAACCCGAGAATCTCTTACCATTGATGTATGCTGTGTCGCCGGAACACGTATACAGGATCCTAGTGCGGTCATTCACTTGACCTCCCCTCGCCAAAACGGAGAGCCGACGATATACACCCTCCATGTATATGGCGACCCGATAGCTAGTTCTCGTGGACTGGCAGGTGTAGGCATAGCATTAAGTACGAGGGCAGAACAAGCACTATTAGAGTGGATCCCCGTTAACAGTCGTCTATATACTGTTCGGCTAAACGGCTCCGTAAGAACTCGGAAGGATAGGGACACACGTCGTTGCCTTTTTGCGGTTTCTGCCTACGCTCCCACTGACTGCAGCCGTGATGAAGTGAAAGATGAAGTTTACAGAAAGCTTTATGAACTTCTTCATTAAGCTAAACGCTCACACATAGTATTTGTAGCAGGTGACTTTAATGCCCAAGTAGGTAGCTTAAACCAAACAGAAAGACACTTAGGTGGGTACTTTAGTATTCCGGCTCAGCAAACAGGTAATGATGATGGTCTGCTGCAACTATGCTCAGACAATCGTTTATTTTTAGTAAGCACTAATTTTAAGCATAAGAAGAAACATAGTCTAACATGGCGACCCCCTACACCAGACCAACGATGGACTCAAATAGACCATATTGTCATCAGTCGTCGTTGGAGAGGGTCGATAGAAGACTGACACTCGTTCTGGAATACCTGCTTGGACTTCGACCATGCTCTAATACGGGCGCGCAACTACTTGCGCCTCACTGGACACAGAAAACACACATTAAGAAGACCTATTGGAGTTGAACTCAACGATTAGAAGGCCAAAGGTACATTTCAGGAACAACTGAAGTCACACTTGGGCAATTTCGAAACCGAGGCTGACCCAGATGTTGCTTGGAAAGGTATACAAACAGAAGTGACATCTGTTAGTGATTTAAACCAAAGAGTTACAAAAAATCAATGGATTTCTTCAAGGTCTATTGCACTGATGGATTCTCGTAAACTCATCCTATCAGGCTCAGAACACGATGATGAGCGAAAGTAAATCAGATCTAGGTTAACCAAAAGTCTAAGGAACGGCCGTGAACAGTGGTCGGCAACGAAAGCAAAAGAGGTGGAAAATACGGTGGCTATAGGTAACACAAGACAGCTCCTTAGATTCATGAAAGAAACTGGAACTAAAAAGTCAAGTGTAAGTGAGACTATCTCGCAAAAAGACGACACTCTTATTTGCTCGCAGTTCAGACGTTTAGAACGATGGGCAGAACACTTTAAGGAGCACTTCAGCTACTCTACAGTTATCCACCATTCACAAACAGCGTGAATGGAACACTGAAGTAGGCCCTCTGACTCTCATTCAAGTTCAAAAAGCCATAGCTAATCTCAAACGAGGAAGAGCAGTTGGTTTAGCTCCAGAGGTCTTTAAGGATGGTGGTCCAATTACAGCGATTAGGTTGACTAATATTTTAGCTAAATCTGGGAGTTAGACGAAATCCCATCTGACTGGTCAAAATCATCCTGTGATAACCATATAGGTATTAGTTTGACTAATATAGCATCTAAAATACTAGCCTCAATAACTATCGAGCGGTTAACAAAGACTCGTGAACTGCAACCACGATAAGATCAGGCTGGCTTCTGACCTGGTCATGGCTGCATCGACCACATATTTACTATTCCTCAGGTTCTAGAACACAAACATGCTTACCGGCATCCGACAGTGATAGTTTATCATGACTTGAATGCAACATTTGAATCTGTTGACCGAGAGGTTCTGTGGCAGTGACTCTCGTTGCAAAATGTACCTAAGAAATACATAAGCCTCGTGAATACTCTTGACTCGAACACTACTCGTCGAGTCAGAGCTTATCGCGAACTGTCATCTGATTTAGCAACCTCAAGTGGTGTTCATCAAGGCTATCCACTATCTCCTTTTTTTCAATTTCATCATAGACCTACTACTGGAAATAACGCTTTCGTCATTTGAATTTTCAGGAATTAATCTCCTTCCAGGAGGTCCACTTATCGAACTAGAATACACAGATGACACATTCCCGTCTGGTGAAGGCGCTGATAAAATGCAGAGCCATTTGGTAGCACTGTCTTACTTGAAGGCTGCGAAACATGGCCATTAAGAGTAGAAGATATTCGTAAGCTATTAGCATTTGATCACAGACATCTTCGAAATATTACTCACTGGGTAAGTAATAGTGAGGTTAGACGCAGGGTATTAAAAAATGATGGTAAATCAGTTGATGAGGTTGTGAATCCTCATCGACTGAGATAGTTGGGCCAGGTGTTGCGTATGCATGAACACCGATTACCACGACGCGTAATGCTGACTAGTGTTAGGGATGATTAGAATAAAGTTAGGGGCAGCCAAACTAAAACGTGGCATCAGTGCTTGAAGTCACTAAATCCTGGTCTGAGCCATGTTGGGGTCTGCGTGACTATCGTGACCAATGCTTGGAGACTCTTGGTGACATGGCTCAGAATCGATCACAATGGCGTCGGTGTACACACTCTTTGTCTTCCCTTAAACTATGAGATCAAAATCGCTTCATATCTTCCTTTCTACGAACTAATCCTCTCTTTTTGTATTATATTCTTACATAAAACCTTTCTTTTATATATTAATACCATCGAATAAACTGCTTTTATGAATCCGGTGTTCGTCTTTCCGTGCTAATGAGGCATGGCAACTTGGACCGATGCATATATATGCCTCATCCTACGTTGTAACTGACCCAATTGTCGTTTATTTATTTAAATATTGTGATCATTGGTAATATGACTCCCTAGGTCACAAAGTGATATAAAAATACTGTAGATAGAAAACTGATATAAATATACCCAGTATTTTAGAAGCATACTGTTGTTGTAGCCCTTTGACTCGACTCCGATCTGGATGAATGTATGAAAATGCTACGAACATAAATCTTCCATTTAACTCCGTATATTAACTAGGCTAACCCCGTTGGTGTGACGGTGATAAGAAAATGTTAAGTATGGGTTTCGTCTGAGGAATTTACTTCAAGCACTCGTTCATCGAGACACAAACTCAAAATAAGCAGTGAAGAGTAGAGCCAACTAGATATGATCAAGCATGACTCGATATTTATAGTCAGACAAAAATAAATTACAGATACGTAATGAATAGAGTGAGCAATTACCTCACACGCTCATATAAAAACAATCAAGGTTAGTAAGCGAATAATTACCAAGATCAGTATTTGACTTGTGAAGGATGAATGAACTAGTCTGTTCGGAAGCTAGAATAACCCACGTGGGCTTGACATAGCACTAGACACTACACTATGAATAATGTAGTACAAGTGCCTACATTCAAGAGTCCTTACTATTTGAAAACTTCAGACTAATAAAGATGAATGTTATGATATCATATTATTAATCTAGAATTTTTAAGGTGCCTGAAACATGACAACTTTTTAATAAGACTATTTGTTTGGCGTCACACAGACCTTTGTAGCAAGAAAGTGAAGCATTTGTGTTTAGGTTTATAAAATTGCAATTACTGAGGAAAAACAAACGAAAAGATATTGAGGTTATAAAACGTACTTTCATGAATGATCCTCCGCCAAATTCCTTCACGTGGTTCTTCGATCCTCCACGGGAGACGTATACTGTACATAGAAGACCGAACAACGTAATGATAAGACAATAATGTTTTCGGAGGGAATTTTAATTCTCTCCAAAGAAACAGAAGAGCGCGATGGTAGCTGTCCAAAAATGAAGATAATTTTGTACACAGAGCTCTGTGCATTAATTCATTATTGCTGAAATTGCAAATCAAATCTATCGGTATACGATGGGAGTAGCCAAATGAATGATGAGAAATCTGTAGAGTTGGAGTGTGATCACAAGTGTTATTATCAAGACTGAAAAATACTATGAGTGCTGCCAAATTTATGTTGTCTTTTAGCTTTCTAAAGGAGTCAATCATTTTAGAGGAATGCTCCTTGGTCGAATTCGCCGATAAGCATACGGAATCATGAACAAAAACAGCCGAAGTAAGCAAGATTTTCAGTTTTAGAAAGCATAAGGATAAAGATTCCTCTGTAGAAAACCTTATGCATATCGGTTTCTGACTGAATATTCTAAGCAGTAAATGTTCTGGACTACCAGATAGTTCACCAACAGACTCACACAACTCCATATGTTCCAGAATGGAGAATATCAAACTATTCACCCGTTAAATCTCGATTGCATTGTTGCCGTTAAAACTCCATACTTCCAACAGAAAACAAGATAAAGTAAACTGGTTCTAATTTATTGAACTCTGAAGAAATAATATGTGCTTAGATCTAACCTGCAATAGAGAAAGAACATCAGTGTACTCAACCAAAGTTCAAGTTAAATGTGTACTTATTGCCAATACTAAAATACGATATTAACAAATCACCCGAACTTTCGAGTTGATAATGGACTTAGAAGTTGGTTAGGTTTCATAACTGCTAGTTGGAACCGTGGTTGTTTGACGCTTTGTTTTTCGAAACTTTCCACTTGATACCACATACTGTTGAGACCCAAAATGCACTGGTATAGCCGAGGGTGGGGAGATTCAGCTCTCCCTCTCGAAATGCTCTCACATGGCCACATACATACAATCACTGCCAGGGAAGTCCTACTCACTGCCTTCTCGCGGCGAGTGTTGTTTACGAAAGTGAGAGGACGAAAAGCGAATGTCCGAAGTGTTAACCGGGTTGGCGGACATGGAGAGTCCACATAGGGGAGTTGAAAAACCCTGATTCCAAACCAACGGTATACATGGGCTCAAGGATCATGAAGGAAAAAAAGTGCGTATGAACCTAATGTTGGTCACCGACTACAATATGAATGGGTCTCCTGACGTTGTTCTACTGCCTTGTGGATCAGACCTTTAGGTCGAAGGTTCGGGGTGTGACCCCCTAAGAAAACCACCTGCTTCGGTTCGGGCACCTGGGCAGTATCCCAGTCCTCACACAAATCGAATGATTTATGTGACGCATATCTATTTGGTGCCTCCTTGTACCAATGTTCATGTGTTTAAATAACTAAATAAATAAACATACTGTTGTAAAATTAAACCACTTAAAATATGAAAAGTTTATAGTAATAATTATTACGAGAGAACACCACGACACAGAATGGGGTTGTATAGAGATGCTTATTAGATTAATTAAGGCCTACACTAACTAGTGTTCGTACTGGGTGTTAAGTTGAGCATCCATTCACATAAAAACACCTTTTAAAACAAGGGAAATGAATACCAAGATGATGAAGTGAAGAGATAATTAGGGGAATACATGGAACCATGGGACACTTATGCAGAGTACGTCAAAACAAACATGACTAAAATGTTGTCAAACTTGTTGGGGAAACCTATAAAGATGAGATTTGAGGACATAAAGAGATACTATAGGAAAATAATTAGTTGTCATCACCAACATATCACCAGAATGAGTGAAACCCATTTGATCCAAGCTGGACAGGAAAGAATAGATTTGGGCCAGATGCATCTGTATTTCGGTCACGAAGAAAATGTTCCACACACTGAAAGTAACTCTGATGCTGTTCAAAGAAGCATTTAAAACACTTATAGGATGGGAATCTCATGGACCCAGAAATATCAAAGCATCTTCCAAAACAATGAATGGAATCACAAGGAATGTTATTCAATGTTATGCACAAACCATTGACAGCAACGACGATAAAGATCAGATTTAGGAGAGGCTGCAATCAAGTGCTAAAGAAAAGACCCGACCATCCTGATAGGAGACCTAAACGCCAGAGGGGAAATGGGCAACTTGAACTAGGAGAAAGGAAAGAGAATGTCAACAGGTTTGCAAATTTATGCACATTAAACAAAATCGTTATGGGCGGCACAATATCCCCCACAAACATATACAAAGCTACATAGGACTCGCCGGACCACGCAACACTACAGAGAACCAGATCGATCATATCTGCATCACTCGAGTTCAGAAGGTCAGTGAAAGATACGAGAACCAGGAGAGGAGCTGACACAGCTTCACATCACTACCTGCTTGTGGTTTCCGAGATTAAACCGAAGTTACAGAAGCACTGGACAACTAGAGAAACAGCATAACAAAGGTTCAATACAGCCTTCCTTCGAGATGCTGACAAACTCACAACAGCTCTCAGCAAAAGGTTCCAAACCTTACAAGACCTACTGAAAACAAGAAACTGTGATGGAGGAAATCTGGTAAGAAATCGAACGAGCATTAACTTCAACGTGTCAGGAAGTACTGGGTCACAAGAAGAATCAACATAAGGAATGGATCTCCATCGAAACCCTTGGTAGCACTCGGGAAAAGAATAAAATGAAGACAGCAGTTAACAACAGCCAAACAAGAACAAAGAAATCCAAGGCACAGGCTGAACACACAGAAGTAAACAAACGAATGAAGAAGAGCAATGAGGCGACAAGTAGAAATATGTGGAAGACCAAGCAACGACAGGAGAAAAAGCTGCAACAGAAGGATATATCAGACAACTATATGAGGAAAGCACCCAACTGCATCACAAGACAAGCCATCACATGTAATCCTCAAAGTCAAAGGAGAAGAACATCAAAGAACAATTAACGCCGAGAAACGGAGACAGGTATGGGAAGAATGAACAATTGGATAGAACTAGAAAGGAAGACCCAGAACAGTGTGTTAGAGAATATTGGTCGGCGGCTTACGCTCCATTGGGGGTAACAGGCGTAAGTAAGATCAGTCAATGAAAACGAAGGCGAGACAATCGCCGAGATTCAAGGACTGAGGAACAGATGGGTAGAACATTTTGAAGAACTCATGAATAGGCCAGCTTCATTGAATCCACCGGACACCGAAGCAGCACACAGACCTTCCTAGAGATTTCACTCCACCAACGATCAAAGAAATTAGAATGGCCATCAGACAAATCAAGAGTGGGAAAGCAGCAGGACCTGACGATATACCAGCTGAAGCAACGAAGTCAGACATAGAAGTAGCTTCAAGTATGCTTCACGTTTTATTCAGGAAGATGTGGGAGAATGAAAAAGTGCCGACAGACTGGAAAAGCGGATATTTCATCAAGATTCCAAAGAAAAGAGCTCTGAGCAAATGTGAGAACTACAGAGGAATCACACTGTTATCGGTACCAGGAAAATTTTTCAACGATGTTGTTGAACCGAGAGAAGATTCAGTAGACGTCCAGCTTACAGATCAACAGGCCAGATTCCTTAAGGATCGGTCGTACACAAACAAAATCGCAACACTACGGATTATCGTTGAACAATCAAATGAATGGGACTCGTCACTATACATCAACTACCTTGACTATGAGAAGATATTTGGTAGTGTGGATGGGAGAACATTACGGAACCTTTTTCGGCAGTATGGAGTACCTGGGAAAATTGTCAACATCATAAGGAATTCATATGACAGACTACACTGCAAATCCGAGCATAGAGATCAGCTAACAGATGAACTCCAATCAAGGACTGAAGTCAAACATAACTGCATACTTAGGAAATGAAAACAAACACGACTTTTACTTTTTGTCTAGTATCAGATCATCCCGATCTCCATATTAATGGGTTTTCCCATAACCGTGAAAAGTTTGGTAGTCTTCCCCAAAGTTTGGGGAAATTTAAGGGAAAAACTCGTGTAATAAGGTTCTGAATAAAATATTGGGGAAAACACAAACTTTCCACGGAAATTTTGAGGATTTCCTGGGGAAACTTTGGCTGTTTACTTGAAGTTTTCTATAGCAGTTTCCTCAAAATAGGGAGATTGGGGTTAGTGGATTGGCGAATCCATAATTTATACACGACCTTTGAGCAACTTAAACTAATTTTGGGAGTCTATTCCTGCTTACTAAAGTTTAATGAGGGTTTTAAACTGATGTGAGGAACTGGGATTAAAGTAGGTAGTTGAACGTTAAGGTTATGCATTAGATCTAGGGTTACCATCAGGTACTGATATAAGCAACTGTGCTAGAATGCAGTGAATGATTATGAATAAATGCTTTTACTGTCCAAATACATGACGTCCAAAATCTGATTATTTTAACTATAAGTAATAGTAATGTAAGCACGTCGTAATCTGTACCGCAATCCTTTAAAAAGCAGATGGTTCAAAGGTTCAAATGGCTGTGATTGGAATAGAAGAAGCTTTCGCTTAACAGGCTTCCGTGTTTAGTAGCAGGGAATCACCAAAGACTCCAGACAGGAACCTGGGTAAAGTAACTAGTAAAAAAGAAATTGGTAACTCACAATAAGATGTTATGCATAGTCCTTAAGAATAAATCAAGTTTCCTCTTAAAGGACTCCTGGGAAGTCTTAGTTTAAGTAGGTGTTTAAGGGGATACCCAGAATTGTTAAGGATACCGTAAGCCATCAGAAAGTCACCTCCAAGATGTTTGTACTCTAATTGGTAAAGGTTAGGTGATTAGAGACGTTCTTCACAAGGTTTGAATTTGAGTCCTCGAACTGATTTCGTGGCTCGCCGTTGGATATGCTCAAGAGTGTTTTTATCCTTTTGCATTGAGGGAGAAAATACTATATTCACATACTCCAAATAGAGGAGAATAAAAATGTTGAAGATTATGTGGAAAGTTCTTCCGTCAAACTGGCCAAAAATGAGCTTCAATGTTAGCAGTGCAAGGTTTGCTCGAAAGGCATTTTTGTCACGGTTAGCGTAAGACTTTAGATCGTAGGTCAAAGGACTCCCAAATCTTGTTTCGACTCGTAAAACTACTAGAGAGGAGCTTTTAAGTTGTAACTGTAGTCTGCGACATGTCGCAGATGAACTACTTAACACTATGAAGTGCAGAAAACGTTTGAGAATAACGGTGGTTACGAAAGGAAAAGTGAGAACAGATTAGCGAATAGCATTAATAATAATAGTGTTGGCAGTATTTGAAAGTCACGAGACTAGCATCAGGTTCAGCTGTTCCTGAAGAAGGACAGTAAACTGCGAGCGCGTGTGCAGTTGCTGTTCTTCCTCCTAAATCTATGTACACGTCGATTCGCATAATATTTCTAGTAAGTTGATCCGTATTGAAAACGAGTTTTCTCACAATGGCATTGGGATATTGTGGGAAATTCGTTAACAGTAGCCTTAAGATATCTGATTATAATGTTTGTGTGATGGTGCGAAGTAAAGTGTCTTGCATGATGAAGATCATTATCATGTCGCCCTATATTAATATACAACATAAAGAGTTCAGCTGCAAGCGACGCATTCAATCAACAAGTATTTCGTTTCTTAATCCAATAAGACTGCCTCTTTGTTTATTGTGAGAGATTTCGTTCCAATCATTATCACTCGTGTTACCCGTATTATGCCCATGGCTAGCACTATTGTGGCCCCATTTCATTAGATTGTGATAAGACTTTAGTTGTAAAAACTTTTAACTGTTTTGTTCGTTATTTTTTACCATGGGAACCTTTAACAGTAATATAGGACCTTTAGTATCGAGGTATTTTATGTTTAATAAGAGGGATGTCTTACACTACAGAAACTGACGCAGTACTTCATAGCTGAATAAATGGTTCTATTTTTCAACCATTTACTAGGCATATTAAGTAAATTCATTTTTAGGAGATGTCAGCTCTTCCTATTGGGTTACTTTGAATTTTTCGAGATTATTGGTCATTATTGAATGGTACAACGGACAATCGAATAACTGTGTTATTGTACAGTTTGGCTACTACCATTGACTCCAAGTAACTCAAAGAATATTCGTAACCGATATAAAAAGACGAACTGGTTTGCTTCAACAAAGTAGATGTTGGTTGAGTTGTGTCGTTGTCTGTACTAGCGTCGAAGTATTGGATTTTCAGTCGTTTCTCTTGTATTGTTAAAAAACGTGCATATTGAGAATTAAATTCACGGTTTTCCGTACAACGTTACTCACTGTCTTCGCTAAAAGGGAATCTTTTCAAGCAATATGTCTCTGCACATTAGTTGATTGTTAGACAGAATCGTAGTGAGAAATTCAGCGATCTCAAGGTTAGTGACGGTTTAGCTGTATAGCACGTCATTTTCTGACAGAGAAACTACTAGAATATTAGTTAGGATATAATTGCATAAATCACATCCAAACTTATGTTTCGATACGGTTGGCTATTGTAGAGACTCAAAGAAGTCTCAAAACACTATATTGCATACTTATTCTCCCGCGTTTACCAGTGTTAGTATTTCACATAATTGAACACATTTGAAGGTACTAATTTATTTTCTGTTAGATACAAGCTATTATGATGACACAAATCTAGAGTATACAAGAAATATTTTTAAACATAGGGAGAAATAGGTTAGTTCAAAGCAAACATTTGTGATTCACACGAACATTTCACTCGTAATCGTCGATTCAATCAAAGGTTTTAATATTCCGATGAGCGATGCAAGGATTAGTTATGATATTTGACTTGCAGGATAACTCGTGGATCTTACATTTTCTTCAATGGTTATGGACCTAAACACCTACATGAGCAGGCTTACAAACGAATTGCGTTCAGTTAATCCTGTTTTCACTTGACCGCAATCAACTGAGTGTCTTGTTCTACCTACACTACGATATGATACACTAGGCTTTAGACGTCGCGACTTACTTCGCAGACCTCTAGAATCGGCATGTGATGTACTCGTCCCAGTTCTTCAGGGTGAACTTAAGTACTATATAATCGGTAGGACCTGAACTAACGACAATTTCAGCACTGATCTTCTTGTGTCCGCGTATTCAGAGGGAAACCAAATATATTTCGATTTTCTTTCTGTACAATTGGAAGGCACGAGTCATGTAATTATCATACCTCATCTGACAATCAACAATCGCGATGACACTCGTTGACATTTGACAAATGACTCAAAACAATGCGTTCGGGAAGAAGAGTAAAGTTTCCAGAACACCTAAACGAAAACTTAAAATAGGACATCACATTACATTTTGTTTCAACTTGATTTCTTTGTACTTTGTCAAAGAACAAAACAAATCATTTTTGAAATGCCCATATGTATCACGACAGGGTAGGCCGTGCTTCGCATATCCTATAACCGCTAGCAAGCTTAGATTAGTCACTTCTCCTTATATCAATAACCCATCAAATATATCTCCGATCCTCTTTGCTTGTGACTTCTGATTTGACTGAGTTTGTATATTTCAACTATAAAAGTTGTTACTGGTTATGTCGTTATCAACCTCCGAATACGCTAGGCATCAATAGACTTGCTGCTTGAATCATATTTTCTAAATACAGCCTCGCCAAAGTTGAGTATAATAAACCAATCATTTCTTCGCTCAAATACTGAAATGGTTTACGAATAGCCTATAAGATACTAGAGACTTCGGCAGAGTCAGCCTTGCAAATGTAGAATTATGGTCAACTATGATATTAGTACTGATCTCATAAGAGACCTAGTCCCGAAATTGTAGATTTGTTATGATATAACTGCCTAATCTATAAGATTTTACGTGGAAGTCACATCATCGTCTACACCAACTCACTGTATCGTAACAACTACCAATACATGATGGAGAAAGAACGATATATTTAATATGAATAAAAGATATAGGGTAACATTCCACAAGGGTCACGCCTGCATGACCGAGCCATGCCACCCGATCAAATCCAATTAATTCAACTCATTGTTCCCGCCTTTTCCATCGTTAGTTATTTATCCGCGTTAATAATTGAATATCTATTTTCCGAGTACACTCGTGTACAGCTTTGAGGATTGTGTTGTTATGGTCTAATGTCACTACAGAGATTCGCGTAATTTCAAGGTCGTTGCCTAATACAATTCCTAGATCTTTGTAGTCAAATACTTTAAACAACACAACTTCACATAATATATAGTAATATGAATTGTCTCATTTATTCATTTGCATTGTAACAGCATAGGTTGGTTTGTTAACTGTTGACCTCAAACAACCAAGCAGAAGACAAAACAGTACAGGTCAAATATTCATTCACTTCCTTATTTTGCATAGGCCTTATATTTCCTATTGTCTTATATTGGATGTAGTGAGGCTTTGTTTGTCTGAACAAATAATCCCACGCTCCACTCTGACTGAACTAAAATCGAAATAAAGACCTATTCACTACTTGTCTGGTTTCTTCTATCAATAGTACGAGGGTTACCTTAAGGCACGAAAACATAACCACACTCTTGTTAATGTTAACTCTTGACGACAACCTACACATCCATTTAACCAGTGAATTTAGGTCATCTTATAATATTATTCTTTGCGACATACTGTATGTGGGTCCTCATCTGCACACAGTAGAAGAGATAACTTCTAAAGTTGTTAAGCTACTTACACATGACTAAAAAAAGGGAGGAAAGAGTTCTGTACTTTAGATAATTTCCTTTTTTGTAGACTCCCAAATCGATGGAGCGCCATGTACTCGTGCATGTTGTCACCTATCACAGAAAAATTCGCTTATCAAGTTTATCGATTTTAAAAATCTCTGATCCTATTTCGAGACTTATGTAAGAAAGCTTATTAAAGTTTATATTTAGGTCTATGAAATTGCATCTACCGGAACGTTACTATTTTTCTTTCTGGAAATATCTCACGGAAGGAGTGTAGTGGCATTGGACCATAACCACACTATCCTCAAAGCTGAATACGAGATTACTCGGAAAATAGGTATTCAATATTTAACGCGAAGAAATACCTAACGATGGAGAAGGCGCGAATAATGAATTGAATAGACTAGAGTTGATCGAACGGCATGGCTCGGCCATGCAGGCGTGGTCTCTGCTGAATGTTACCTTATATCTTCTATTCATATTAAATATATTGTTCTTTCTCTAGCCTAACCTTGTTCTACGTCACGTATTGGTAATTGATACGATACAGTGAGTTGGTGTAGTTGATGGTGTGACTTCCACGTAAGATCTTATAGATTAGGCAGTCATATCATGACAAATCCACAGATTTAGGATTAGGTCTATTATTAGAGCAGTACTAATATCATAGTAGACCATAAGTTCTACATTGGTGAGCCCAACTAAAGAAACGCAACCCATTACTGTTAATCCTTATTTCCACCTTAACCTTCTCAATCGGTTTTTATTTTTGTAAACCCAGTATTCGTATAG